CCCAGCCAGCATGGCTGGCTGGGGAATTCTGGAAGTTGAAGTCCACGCATCTTAAAGTTGCTAAAGCTGAGAAACCCTGCTCTATAGGCATGAAGCAGAGACAGAAAAGAGGTGAGAGTGGCTCCAAATCTGATCAGGCCATGCTGATTGTGTGATTTTATACACACACACACACACACATACACACACACAAACATACATGCACACATACACATATACACTTAAACACACATACATACATACACACATACACACACATATACAACATACATACACATACAGGAAATGACAGTGGTTCAGCCACAACAAAGATGGCTGCTTGTAATATGGTCAGAGCAGCCATCTCACTCCTAGATTGTCTAGCACTAATTAATTACCTGTGGATACAGCTAGACTGGGCTTTCTGTGTACTGCAAGAATAGCCCCTGTATTTGCACAACCCAGTGAATCATTAATTAAACTCATTGTCTGGTTTCATGCAACACACTGAAGCAGAAACTGTCTAACTTAGCCTGACATTTTATTTATTCATTTATTAAATTTATTCCCGCCCATCTCCCCCTAATGAGGGACTCTGGGCGGCTTACAACTGATTAAAACAATGAATAAAATACAATTACATAAAATCTAAAGCTATGTAAAACAATTACTAAAAAAGTCCAGGAAGTGTGTGAACCCAGCAGGAGTGGTTCCCAAGAAGCAGTCTGAAGAGCCCAGTCCAAAAAGCCAGATGATGCTGAAGATCTCAAGAAGCTGTTGCCGGAAAGGGTGAGATCAGTACTTATCAAGTCTCTGTGACAGCAAATCCAACAAGTCAGCTTCAGAGCTGTTTTAGTCCTTCCTGTTGCTTTGACTGATGAGTGTTTTATTCTGACTGTAGGAGAACAGTGTGGAGTTTGAAGCTTGCCTGGTTGCCCAGTGTGATGCGCTTATTGATGCTCTCAACAGACGGAAAGCCCAGCTGTTGTCACGGGTCAACAAAGAACATGAGCACAAACTGAAGGTTAGTCCGGGGTAATGAAAGATATGCAAATGCTGTATAGCACATGGCCATGAACTGTTCTTGGGGTAGAAGAGGCTGATGGACATGGCTGAGAATGTGTCCATGTAAGGTGCCAGGAATGTCAAACCAGGATTGCTGATACTGGGGCCTAGGCACCTTGAAATATGGTTGCAGTTTATGGATGAATGAATCAGCTAGTCCTGTTGCAAATGGCCAAAATATGCTGTTATGTCTACTGGCCCAGTAGGAATCTTGACCAAAAAAAGCCTGCGTTCTAACCTGCTTTTCCAGTAGGATTGCTTGCTTCTCTTTCCTGTTTCTTGCATAAATATTTCCTTCCCTGCAGACACCATTTCCTCATGGAGAAAATCTATCTACGTGGTTGCTAAGAGTCGACACTGACTTGATGGCACATAATCAATCAATCAATCAATCAATCAATCAATCAGACAGCATTTTGGGGCTCATATATTATACTAAGCCATGCCATATTTATTTGGTAACAAAACTCAATTGCATGGTTTGCACAACACACTAAATCAAGCCAAATAAAATATATGATGGCTTAGTGCAGCCACAGCCACAGACTGAGTTCAGACACTAAAGTACAAACTAGTCAATCATAGCTCATGTGATGAATTTATAGTTCACTGTATCTTCCAAAGACAAAAAATGGGGTTATTGAACAAATGGTGGTTCAGTTAATTATGAGCGAACACATTGTATGATTCCCACTTGGGTTCAAATAGGATTCTTCAGCATTAGACTAGGAATATTGCAAGTAGATATATATGGGAGGAGGTATGTGTGTGTGAACTGCAAACACAAATTTGCTTTTAGGGAAACTCATGCCAACCTCCATACTAATCTCTAGGGTTGCATATGCTTCAAAAATGATTTGGAACAACTCCAAATCCATTAAAGAAGCCTGCCTTTTCTCACACGTCTGCATCAGGGATCTATTTGATGTCACTACATTTCTTAAAGGAATGCACCTTTTTTCAAGGCTTGTTTAATGAATAGCAGAAAGATGCTACGCTCATCTTGTGAGGCCCAGAGCCGTCTTCCAAATCCTTTCTGAAGCGTGCAAAGCTGTATTGATTTCCCCTTACTCCTTGGTTTAATGCTTTAGCCGGACTGCCTTGGTCCAGCTTCTCTCTGCCTCCCAAACACCTCTGAATCCGCCAGGGGGGAAGGGAAGGGATGACCCTTATAGCTTATGCAGCACTCAGCCTGATGTGGGAGCTGAAGTGAATTAGTAGTGGGTACATGAGCCCATGTGAGGGAGGGCCTGAATATTTGCCATGGCAGCTGTTGCCATAGAGACCTCCTAGGATGGAGGGAGGGATGACACAGTGGCTGCTAGGGACCAGCAACAGATAAGCCCAGAGGAGTAACCTTGAAAGGGGAGGACAACTGGTTGACTGCAGTGTACATTTGCCATGAAAAGGTTATGACTCCCTTTGAGGGAAGGGTTGGTGGCTGCCTGAGAGAACTGATGGAAAAAGAATTGCCTTGTGGAGAAGGGAGGATTTGTGGGATGTTACATTGGAAGACAAGTAGGGCAACCTGAGAAAGTTTCTCTGCTGTGAGTCAGGGGTACCAAAGGCTTTTCCCTAGGATTTTAAAAAGGGTCTTTCCCAGCCAATTAACCCAGATGCCTTGACCCAGAGATTTCTGGGCCTCCTTTCTCTGCACACAGGGAGATTTCAGCTATAGCACTTAAGGATTTCCTAAATGTATGCCCCTCATTCCATTAGGCCTTTATCTATTTGAACACTACTGGCTTTTATAGAGTGGAATAGCCCATGTTCTTCCTTTTAAGTGGCATATAGAGTTAAGGTTAAGGTTAGAGTTTTCTGGGTTCGTGCAAAACATTCAATCATGGTTTACAGACTACATAACCTAAGTTTCCACAACATGCTAAGCCAGTATGTGGATTGTTAGTTTGTGGTTTAGTGTGGGAGCCCAGCCAGTACTGTTATAATCCTAATTTTATGTTTAACATGTTGTACAAACCCAGCCAATTGTGGTTTATTCAGTAATCAATTATTAAGCTCAGCATGTTCTGTGAGACAGACGCTGCTTTCTCACAACATGCAAAGCTAGGCCAACATTTTTGCTGCTTTAAGTGGCTCTTTTGGCATGACATTTGAACCACAAATTAGCCAACCACAATTTTAGTAGAGTGTGTTTGGCAAACCCAGTCTATGTGGTTAATTTGTGATTCAGTCTTTTGTGTGAACTCAGAAAATTAGGCCAATTAAATAAACATAGAGTTAGTTAATTATTGGTAAGTGTCTTGTGTGAACATTGCTAGTGCATTAATTATGAAATTCTGTGGTTTAGCATTTCTTAATCAGGTCATGGAAATAGATGGAGTGGAGTGATTCCTTAGTATACTGTAACAGGAGTGTAGGAGGAAGAAACAGTTAATTCTGCAAAGCTGATAATAAGCTTTGTGGTCTCTTAAATGCCTTGGAGATAAATGGTTTTTCCTTCAGCATTTATTTACACAACCACCACCCTTTGTTAATAAGCATCAAGTCCCCCCCCTTTTGCTTTTTATCCCCTTTGTTTGTTGTTTATTAGCTGTAAAACTATTGAGGATTCAGATATTTCACTGCTGGAGAGAACTCAGTTGTATTATAAAACATGCAACCCTGTGGATCAATTTTCCCTCACATAATATCTTGCAGAAGCATTCATCAACATGGATGAAGGTGCTGCAGCCCAACCCATCTGAAGGGTTCCCAGTTAGAGAAGACAAGACTGACATACATACTTTAGCCCTCTGAGAATCCACCTTGATCATTTCCAACCTGCAGAACAAAGCCTTATTTGGGCATTTTTCAAACTCTTGCCAAAACTCAGGAGGTCAGTTATGTTCCCATTAAGATTGCTGAGGGCATTGGAGGGTTTCAGTACCACCTCAACATGATCACAGATTTTCCAAACTTTTTTGGGAACCCTCATGGGTTCTGAAACTGTGGACAGCATTCTGTACATGTCCACCTCTTTGGGCTGCAGCTAGGTCTTACCATTTATGTATTTTCTTCATTTTCTTGGTCTGATGCCAAAGGCTCACTTGATGACCAGGTGTAGCTACCCTTTCAGATGGAAAGAAAATGCTAATAGCTCTGGAGAGAGATTACAGAGGAGAACAAGGCAATCCCCAATCATTTATCAACCTGTTTTTTTCTAGCTCACATACAGAGCTGTTTTTGGTCCTTCTGAGGGGAACTGGGCTTCTGACCACAGCTTCCTTCCACTTCTCAGGCAGAATCCTATTCAGTGGAATGAGCTAGCTGGGAATTCAGTCATTAATCATCTCCCTTGCAATTCCATGCCTGAGAGAGATGTCTTGAAGATCACCTTAGGTCCACTTGCTTGTTAAGTGCTGAGATGAATTGCAAGGGAATGGAGAGAAATGAAGTAGGAGGGAGGAAGGGAGAGAGAGAGGCATTTAAAACCTTTCAGTAGTCTGAGTTTGGCAGCTGTGCAGAAGGACATTTATCTATGTCAATGATGTCTATGTTCCCCCAAAATGATAAGTTATGGTTTCCTTACTGAATAAACCAGAGTTGGATGGGTTTACCCAACAGGCTATCATACAGTACATTTTACAAATCATGATGCCCAGGTTCACCAGTACACTAAGCCACAGATAAATGTACTACATTACACATGTTGTGTGTGTCCGAATGTGTTAAGACTGCAACTCCCATACAGCGGCACTCACAGCAAACTGCAATGAGACCAAAATGATATGCATGCACTGGAATCTCACATAAATGTGGCAATTACAATACTGTATGTTCTTTTGTCCTGAAGTCTGGCACAAGTACATAATTTGGTGCATTCGCATGATGATGTCACCATGCATGTTTCATCATCCCTCCCCCCCCCATTCCCATGCTTCCAGAATTCCCAGGTTGAGGAATACTGTATAAGGCCTTACCAAACAGCCCCCCAGTGCCTTGCATAATAAATTAGAACAATAAAAAGCACTATGCATAGTATGGCACTAATTATGCAAATATATTTGCTGTGTTTTATAAGCACCATTTAGTTACAGTACAATTTTGGATGGCTTGGGAGTTGAGGTTTTTTGATCCCTTAAAATTGTGCAAAATATACCCAGCCAAATTATTAACTCTGTACAGCTAGAGACAGGATTAAAGAGATGACATGCCAGAGAGTGCAAGCACAATTCTTTAAGCAAATTAGAATGCCCAGCAAACATCATCAAGATGTTTAGAGCTAAGAGACCATTTCTTTGAAGTGATCTAGGGATTTTGCAAAACTGTCCATAACATGACAGGAATTTGGTTTAATATGCAGATATATTGGTCTCAGGAGGTGGCAATATTTAGCTGACCTTGTCTGGGTTCCCAAGTTAAGCAGGATCTGACCTGCTCAGTAATTGGAGACTAATGGGGAACTCTAGGGCTGTAGGCTAGTCTGGGAAACTGAAAAAAAAATCTGAAAATAAGCAGTGATGAACCACTTCAATATTGTTGCCAAGAAAACTGCATGGTTATGTCCCTGTAGTTACCAGGACTTGAACTCAACTCAAGAGTATGTAGACATGCTGATTAGCCCTGTTGGTGGTGATATAAAATTGCTGGTATCACTTTGTTGATGCATTCAAATGTTTTGGCTGTGGATAGAGTCTGTGCATTTGGCATATATTTATTACAAGATTTATCACTTGCCTTTTAAAAGCTCTCCATCTCCTCAGCAGTTCTACAATTTAAAAACAAAACCCAATCAATAAAAAGTTGGCAAGATTCAAGCTAGTATCAAATAAAGAGACATAAAAGCAGCATAAAAGCCAATTTACAGAAAGTAAAGTTATTTAACAGCTTATGGAAGAAAAAATATTTTCCGTAATGCTGCAAAAACAAGGCTGCCGGGCAAACCTCTTCCCTGGGGAAAAAATTCCAAAGTCCAGGTGCCATCACTGAGAATCTCCTCTTGCCTGGCTCTCTTCCCTT